AAAAATGTTATGTCATCCATCTATCTAAAAAAAACTAAACCAATGTCATTTGATTATAAACTACATAACCATATTTTAAAGTCTGTAAAAGAAAGTAAATATCTAGGAGTAACTTTTAGTAATGATCCTGATTGGGGACCACACATCATAACATTACATGCAAAACCAATAAAACTCTAGGCTTCTTGCGTAGAAATTTAAAAAAAACTGCACACGTAAGGTTAAAAACCTTACTTACACATCACTAGTGCGTCCAGTCTTGGAATACTCCTCACCTGTTTGGGATCCATACAAAAAAAAATATCACATCACTCAGGTTGAGCAGATTCAGCGGAAGGCAGCTAGATATGTGTATAACGATTATACAATATAATATGATAAAATCCTTAAAATGGGACAGTTTACAAAACAGAAGAACTAAAGCCAGATTTGTTACAGGTTATAAATTTTATTGGGGGTTGGTCGAAGTGCCTGAAGACACTCTAGTCAAATCAGACAGTCGCACTAGAGGTAAACACAAATTTAAACAAATTTCTATTTCTAAAGATGTTTATTAAAATTCTTTCTATCCCAAAACAATAACAGACCGGAATACCTTACCAGAATCTGTGTGCATGACTTCTTCCCTTGAATCCTTCAAAAGTGGCATCTCTACTTTAACATTTGAAGGGGTCAAATCACAATACTAAACCATAAGGCCACTGCATAATTTGTATATATGTTAAAATGTTGTTAATCTTCAATGTTTTTTTATTTTTATTAATATATTCACTCATATTATATGAGAATACTTTATTTCTTCATATATAAAATGTTAAGTCCATTCCAAATTGTACATAGCGCACAGTTCCGGGACGATCTACACTCCTATTACAGGAGTCTACTCCCGTACTTGGGCGGACCAAGTCCAGACCCAAGAAGGAAGAAGAAGAAGAAGAAGAAGAAGAAAGAACCAATATTTCAAGATTTTTATTTCAATCAGACACACATGAAGGTGTGTAACAATAGGTCATGTATATAGATAACATGGTTTGAGTGCAGGACATGCAAGCTTTCTATATCATAGCAACGTACATAATTACGTATATACGTGTAGTTACATACAAATAATTCAGTGTTCAACGTATATAAAATGTCACTAGCAAACGGAAGAGAAACGTATAGAATAGAGACACCATAGTACTTTTGTTAATTTTTAAACAAACAAGCTTACACTTTTTTAACAATTTCATATTAAAAACTAAACCAGAAGGTCGTTTGCAACAAAGAAATTAAATTTGAAAATTTCAAAATAAATCGGGAAGGTTAATGAGAAAGTTAAATCAATAAAGGAATGTTAGCACTTTTTTGAGAATTTAAACTCAAATCAATCTGTTCTTGAAAAAAAAACGAATTAATGACCCGGAGCAGTTATATCAATAAAATTACCATTTTTTTTAACAGAATTAAATATATATTCTATATATCCCTATGGTATTCTTTATGCATAAATCAACAACTCTTTGAATAGATGATCTTACCATGCTGACTGCCAATACTATTAGGTATTTGTTTTGATTGGATAATAAACATTTATATTTTTTAGACATTTTTAAAGTTTATTCTAATATTTTTGTTGCATTGTAGACACGTAGATAATTGTATTTTCTTACTAGAAACTAGGGCTTAGATATTATTTCACTCCGTCCTAGAACACTACACTCTTACTAGAATCAATATTATTTGTTATTAAGGTGTTTTTTTAAGAAAAGTCAAATAAGTAAACTTAGAAAAGTTTTACAAAGAAACCACTAAACAAATGATGACATCCGGGGATTCCCCCTGAACATTCATATCATTGGTGCATGAATCTAGGGATGTCACTAGAGCCAGGACCCTCAAACCCCCCGCTTGCAGATATAGAGGGAGAGAGAGAGACAGATACAGCTGGTGCGTATATGGTGCGTTGTCCCCTCCTCCATATACCGCTTACTCAGATTTTGCCCCTGGGTGCTGACCCGGCATCCTCGAGGATGCTGATCCGGAGGTACAATGTACATGTAAATATCATTGGACATCAGACTCCGTACCTTGTGTAATACACACACCCTCAGGGCATTTCAATCCCAGTTTCTCCTGTGCTATCTATTTAAATTGTAGGTTTCAGACAGGTTAAATTACATGTAGAAAAGTCAATTTGGATATCTATATATTTAATTGTTTCTAAATAAATGTTTTGTTGGAATTCAGATCTGCGTTCCTGACACTACAGAACATTGTTACCCATCACGAACGAGACAAAATATACATACATTTAGAACATAGTATTTTTTCTTAATCACAATACATGTAGTTACTTCCATAAGCTTTCTTTTTTACCAAAAAGACTTATGATTCATTATCATGTACTAATTAATATGACGATATATTTATATACGTTATGTAGAGGAAATACTGTTATAACTATACATGAATGTTAATGGTGATTATATCCCATGTACCATGGTTTTTAATAGGTCATCACGCTTTATAGTTATAATTTGCTATTTTCATTAAAGGATACTGCTTAAATCATTTCAAGAATATGGAAAGGTAACATCTAATATTTTCTTTCTTTTATTATTTATTAATTGAGCTGTCGGAAGAGACAAAATCATCGTATGTATGCACTGATGAAAACTTAGAACTTAGAATATTAAGCTTCCAGTAGAAACAGGAAGATGGGTGGGAATTCAAAGACAGGACAGAATATGCCCACTTTGTAATACTGGAATTGGGGACGAGTTTCATTACTTATATACTTGTAATAACGACACTTTAGTCAAAATAAGGGAAAACAATATTTCGGCCTATTTTTATACAAGTCCAAACCAACATAAAATGAAAGGAATGTTCACAATTTTTAATATGAAATCATTAAAAAGTGTAAGCTTATTTGTTCAAGAATTAGCAAAAGTACTTTAGTGTCTATATTCTATAAGTTTTTTCTTTTGTTTGCTAGTGACACTTTACATAAGTTGAACACTGAATTATTTGTATGTAACTACATGTATATATATATTTATGTACCATGCTATGATATAGAATGTTTGCCTGTCATGCACTCAAACTAAGTTATATATACACGACCTCTTGTTACACATATTATGTGTTTGTCTTAGTGAAATAAAAAATCTTGAAAATCTTGAAAAAATCTTGATGAAACGGCCAGACATAATATGATAAAGAAAGATACATTGTGCACTGTAGTTAACTCCAGTGCACATCGATGTGAATCCCAGATCACTTCCGTGTTAACTCCAGTGCACAAGGATGTGAACTCCAGTGCACAAGCTAGTGAACTGTAGTTCACTTTTCTTGTTAACTCCAGTGCACTAGACTTCCAAGTTCAGTTTGCTCCCAACTGTAGCTGTTAATAGGACGTTAAACAAAATATACATGTAACAAAACTAAGGTTTTTTAATACAAATGTGACTGTAACTCTACCTGTTTGATGTACCGCCCTTGATGTACATGTGTGTTAGATATTTTTTTGTAAAATAACTTAATGACATGTTGATATTTTATCAAGTAATAAGTAGACGAGCTTCACTTTTTATTTTGTTTGAAGTCACTAATAATGCGACCAGGTACAAGACGTATTATAGTGACGCCATAAAAATACAATTGAAACCGTTACCAATGTAATCGTTTGATTGATCAAATACTACTTATTGTCAGTGACACATGCTTGTGTCAAATTCAAAAAGAGCAATGTTACCAATACTCTAAAGCATTATAAAACCTCGAAATCGATACGAACCGACAAGAATATGAAGTAAGTAGACATCAAAAAAGACGAAACACGTCATCGACACCCACGGAAATGAAACTAGGAGTTCCATATGGGTGATTAGTTACGTGTGGATTACGAAGTGGTGATTGAATCAACTGAAATCGCTCTAGCTGCAGCTTCGTTGCATAAACTTGAACCAGCAACTTTTTCGTTTCCTCCATTTTGTTGTAAAATGTTTCTATCGGGATGTGGTAAATCGCCGTCGTCATATGTACTTTATATGCTAAATATATTTGCGAGGATGAAAAACAGTAAAACCCCAAGATAACAAGATTACACTGTATTCAAATGAACTTGAGTTTAAAAAACTCCAACATAAATGAAGAATCGAAAGGAAATATATACTTTTAATCTATCATTCGAGGAGTCATCCTTATATTTATCAGATGGAAATTTTGTAAACACTTATTAGAAATAAAAGATAAAAGATTATGTGTTCTAAAAGTAGCCACCAGTGGATATAACATCTGGTAACGCAAAATTATAACTTAAATATGACGCAAGGAAACAAATATTGAGTCCATCCTTGAGATACTTTTTGTTTGTTAATTCCTTACTTTACAAAGAGTGCCCTCCCTTATTCCACTGAAATAGTCCATAGCACAAGATCAAGATAAGGTACTCGATTGCCATCGTAAATTAATCCTATCCCAGATACCTTTGTGGCATAACTTTTCTTAATATCTTATTGGGAGTTGTCTGGATCAACATGTAAGCAGTTTATTTTCAATTCGATTGATTATTTATCTATATATTGCCGTATTGCGGTATACTTCATGGTACATTACAATAATACAGTCAGATTGTAGTTGGTCGAACACTGTGTTGTGTTAGTGTGATATCACTAAAACACTTACCAAGTTTTGTGTGATATCATCTGTGTATTTTGTCAAATACATCTTTCCCTCACCTTAAAACTCTGTCATTACATGTAAGTAGCGGACACTGCTGCGTTAACATAAACTGATTTACTAAAAGTTAAGAAAAGTCCCGCTACAACGATAGCAGCAAAGTAGACAAAAGAAATGATTTAGACCTCGAGATCTATACCGCTTCTTTTACTGCATCACCAGATACCTAATCACTTCTTAGCGGGGCTTTTCTTGCCGTGACATTGACCATAGGGAAACAAACGAAATCAACAATAAAAGTTTTTAAAACGAAACAGAGTAAGGTGGACCAAATAGAAATTTTAAGTAAAATGAATTTAATTTTTCATCCAATAAGTACACCAGAAATATCAGATGTAGTTTTAGTGAACACTGGCGGGACGTGTGATTCAAATCCGGGAACTTCGACGCTGTGAATGCTCGAGTGTTGCGAGTCCATATGGAACTGTACATTCCTCAAATCTCTTATTTTATATAGTGTTCCCTCCCCTTCTCCATTGAAATGGTCTGCGGTTTGCGACGGGTAAAGATTCCAGTTGCCGATTCCGACCTGCATTTTAAGCTGTTGATGGTCTGTCCGTGAGGCGTGTATGTATAAATTTCCGTAAGCGTCGTTGTGATAGGTTCCGACGTACGAGGAAACCGACCGGTGCAAGGGGAGATTTTTCACAATTGAATGGTGTGTTGTAACGTGTTTCCGCATCCACGGTTCTGGGAACGTGCACATAGTGGTAGCGTTCAGCCATGGTGTCTCACCAAGCGCCATATCAGCCAGATAATTTTCTAGCACTGTACGAAATATGTAATCGTGGTCTGATCCTGTCATCGTTATAAATACACCAATGTTCATGTCCGGTATGAGAGTCAGCAGCGAGGAGTATCCGAATGTAGTTCCGGAGTGTCGAAGAATTCGATACCCTAAAGTTGGAATGAAAAACAGAAATTGAAGAATGACAACATAAACCATTATGATGAATTGTTATAAGGGAATCAAATGTAAACATACAACCTTTTAATCTTGTAAAAAAAATAATTGTTACGATTATCTGTAGCAGTAGATTAAGTAATAATCCGATACTATTGTAGCTATCCATACAGCCGAGTCGGGTCTACTCGAGAGACCGCCCCTGCTAAAAATTCGCATCCCCACAAAGCAGAATAAAATGCATGAATACTTTTTAAAAATATGTCTCTCCTGAATATTTACTTTTGAGTTTCCCCTTAGTTTGCCAAAATGCACAATTCGATTTATTGTTTAAGAATGAATGAATATATTTTGCTTAAATTCTGACCCAATCCCCCATTTGGACCTCTTGATCGCAAAAGACGAAAAAACAACCACGAACAACAAAATGACCAATTATTATACGCCTCTGTCACATTTTGAAATTCTAGGTACCCCTGTCAATAGCAATACGTTGTTAAATCACTATTTACCGTTTTTTTGAGGAAGAATAATCTGCTTATGAATGACAAAATAGCGAACACTTAGTTTTTGTTGAAAGATAAAGTATGCGCTTAAATGTGATAAAATCGCCAGGGATGACCGCTCCTCCCCTCCCTTAAGTGGCACTATGGTGAATGTCTTACTGGATAACGACGAAAACCAAGTAGTTACACACACTATAAAGGATGGCTTAAACGGATTACTTTTATTTATAGTGTCGTGGATGTGCATTACATTGCTCTTTGTATTCAATTTAACGTTGTTTTCAGAGATATTTTCGTAAACCTGAAGACAGATCGGGAAAGCAGGTTACTGTTATTTCATGAGGATAAAACAAAACATCGGAAAGCATTGACATACCCTGTCCACAGTTAATAAGAAGATACTGTTCATGTTGTTTTTTTTCTTTGTAATTTTCATAATAAATCTAAAATGTTATAAAGATTGATTTATAGGGTTATGGGATCACACATTGTTGTTACTTCAAACGATAAAGCTGACGATAAACAATGATGTGAGAGTTCCAGATCTATTTTTTTCATCCTTTGAATTTCACAATAGGAAAAACACATTTGTAGAAAGTCGTTTAATGTGTCAGTAATTTAATGCGGCTACCCTAATATGTTTATTGATATAAAACGTTTACGCTTGGGTAATTCTGAAATTTGACTACATTGGACATTATCTTAGAAATAATATTAACGACATATTTCAAATAAATAGAAAGAAATAGAGTTTGTTTAAAAATATATACCTTCCGTCATGATTTCCCAAGCATTATGAATGTCAAATATTACCTCTGTAGAAACCGTTTTTCCAACCAAAAGCGTAGGTGTTTTCGCTTGTAGTTACTGGCACAACAGGTTTCGTAAAGTAGTGACCAACTGTTGAACTGCGAATCACATTTCTGGGAACATAAATGGAAGACAACGCATGCGCATCTACCACCTGATGACCAGCTGAGTTTTTCCCGCCATGTAAATGAAACAACATCCATTTTGTCATTTCTGCAGCATTACTCATCACTCCGCCGGACCCTCCTATTTTGCCCCAGTGCCTGATAACACAAAGTATGGAAACGTCGAAATTACAAAGCTGTCATATTAAATAAAAAGCAAACACATAGATATAAATGTTGATAACTCGTCATTTGAGTGATTCAGCGATTCTACGCGTCCACACGTCAATGCATTGCTGTCCACAACTTAAACCAGTCTTCATTTTTATTTTTGTATTTCTGATATTCTAAATGCCCATAACTGTTTATTTAAATTTGGAATGTGATTGTTATCGTGAACAACTAACCCCCACAGAGAGAACGAAAATCGACATTGAATTCCAGCTGTACTAAAGACGATTTAAGCACCCGAATCGACTAAGATTTATTTTCTTTCGTGCATTCCGTTTTGGTTACACACTATAACGTGCAGTGTTCGTGTCTGAAAGCCCATGTGATATATGGTGACGTTTTACTGCTAGTAACCTTGGATTTCCACTCAGGTTGCAAATCCACACGCGGCCTCGAGCTAATTACTGGGACTGTTTTGGCTGTGGCCGGTCGTATTAAAGGTGGCCGAGTAGGATTATATGTGCAGATAAGTAGAAAAAAGGTTTAGGTGCCGACTTTTTAACACAATAAATGTGTCCGTATTATTTCTATTCGACATCTAGCATTACTGATTAACAGTCAGTTTAAGGTTTCGGGTCTAAAATAATATTGCCCCAATGAACGCTTTAGCAGAAAACAGAACTCCAATCCTTATCAAATGCTTGAAACGTTTTTTCATATGTAGTAGAATGTTATATTAAATAAAACGTGTGATCACATGGATAAATCAATTAAACTTCAAAATGTGATCAGATATCACGTAGCTATCACTTTTATTTTTGCTCTACTTTTGGGTAACGCTATGTATTTTTCATATTTTCACAGGATGTTTGTAAGTGGCATGGCTGTATTGTTAGAATTAAGTTTTACTTGCGGAGTCCTAGTACAGTATAACCACCACCAAATCTCAAGAGAGCATGATAACCTATTCTAATTGGAATTTTATTCTCCTGTTATAACATCAAAACCGAACTTAACAACTAAAAGATATAATTAAATAAAGATCAGCATTATGTTTATTGTTTTAAAGTAAAGGAATTAATTGAAGTATGGGAATATTCACACATTTACATTACCTATTTAATTCCTCAGGTACTGGTACAAGAGCCCCGGTGTCTAAATCATTCACATATCCCTGCGCAACATCAGTGCTTTTGCGGTTAACTGTCGACATGAAAGTAGACCCTGACATTCCCAAAGGCGTGAAAAGGTTTGTTTCTATGAGCTCTGGCCATGTTCTTTGACCAAGCTTCTCGGAGATGCTGGTAACCAGTCCGTACATCAGATTGTTGTAGACGAAGGAACTCCGGAAAGGATGAATGGATTTCAAGTACTGAATCCGGCTGCGAAAGGAAACAAAAAGGAGAAACTTATTATTCTGTGCTGGTATATCATTAATTTTCTGGACTATGAAATATATTTTTTCATGAACAGATATTTTTGCTCGTAGTGTATTGTGTATACGCTATATATATAAAGCGTATACTTTTGAGTCTACGTGTTGTCATTTAGCAATAAAAAAAAAAGCGGTTGTTATCGATTTGTTCCTAGCCATAAATGTACAAGACACTACTTCATAAAATATCAGACTCGCACGATTTAAACATAAATTCCAGAATACCCATCGTACATCATACAAAGTAATAAATAAACCATTACCCTGGCTATTCACAGTAAATCTAACATAAAATACCACACCAGACCTGGGCAGATTTTGAAGCGTTAAATTGGTGTCGAGTCGAATGTAGTTGTTTTCGGGTATTCCCAAGGTGTGGGCCAACAGGTCGCGGAGGTCTGCATTTTCTGTCCGGATGTTGGTAGAGAATTTGAAATGGTCACCCAGAACATCTGCTACATTTGAGTAAATGCTGAGACTGAAGTAAAAAATAAAAATAAATATGTTTTTGTCTATTTGATTTGGATTTAGTATAGCAAGATTTCTGAAATTTATTATGGGCACTGGATTGAACTCTTCGAACGAAAGTTCATTGGTTTGAAAATGAATCTGTCGGATTTTATTAATTGCAAGAAAAATAACAAAACGTTGATTAGGACATTCAAAACAATCATCATACACAAATATCATAAAATATCCGTCTGTGTCTAAAAAATAACAGAAATAAAATCATTCCAAACAATCGGTCATCATTATATATATAAAGTAAAAAAAAGCTTGATACATGAAGATAAGTATTTATTTAGTAACCAACAGAAGGATTAGGTAGCACAGTGTAACATGTCTTTACTCGGCACTAAACACTGCTGCTATCGTAGAGCTCAAACGGATATTCTGTGTATCGATACGACTACGTTATAACTGTATCAGATGGAGCGGTGTATACTGTATAGCCAAACATTTGATATAGCGCCCTATCTAGCTAACATAAGCCACTCTAAAGCGCTTTACAGTACATAGATATACAATTTTATACAGTCATTACAATTAGCATATATATTAATCAATACAATATTGAGGAATTCGCAGGAGCTGCCTTATCAGGCGCTAACTACTCGTCCTATGTCACCTGGCTAATATCTCCCTATGTGTGTATGCCTGTGTGTGTGCCTGTGTGTGTGCTGGAGATGAATTGTGTTCTGTTTGTAGTGGGACAATGCTTCCATCGGTATCATTTATAGTGCCACCTCACTTGAATGCTACAGCACAGATACCGCAACACCCACCGGTGTTTGGTTACGGCAACGAAATAAAGAAAAATATTATAATATGCAGCCTGGCCTTGTCATTACATAATTTAATAAAGCATGTCTAACAACAACTGTTTAAGAGGAAAAAAGTCACGTTCTGTGTTAAGATTGCAATGTTCCCTGTCTTAATTAAATCCAAGATAGCTGAGGTGTATAGGAACATTATAACAAATGTCGTATATATGGATAACAATCACGATTTAAGTACAAGTAAAAAAAAAAGGGTTATTATTGTGTCAAACTGTTTGATAACTGCATTGGGGTTTTAATTATTTCGATTTTAAAGAATTACTAGCTATCACAATAAATTCTCTTGTCTGCAATGCTGTTATTAGGTAACGACCGGTAACGACCATTGCTACTAAATCACAAGTAAGGGGAGGGGGAGGAGGACGGGGAGTTCCTAGGAAGATGAGGAGGATGAGAAGGAGGGGGGGGGGAGGAGGAGGAGGACGGGGAGTTCCTAAGTGGATGAGGAGGATGGAAGGAGAAGGGGGGGGGGGAGGCACGTGTTGGTCTAAAACCTCGTGCAAACGTGCTCTCGTTGATTTAGTACTACTGGTCGTTCCAACGAATTTTCAATCTATACAAATACAGTTTGTAGTGTAGGCAGATTTAGAATATGAGACGGTTTTTTATGCGTCATAATTTTTATTTTTATTTTTTAGAGAAAAGTCATCCTACGTATAGGACATGAAAGAGTTGGTTACGAACAAATCGGCGGTTCATTTCCAATGACAGAGACTAATGATGTTATAAATACATTGTATATAGCCATCAAATACAGGTATGACAGTCGCGCTTTCCTTTGTCCGTGATGGAACTTAGTATGATATGACGGTATTCCACTCTTCCCGGTTGTTGGCTTAAAAGATAATTTAAAACATATTACGCCGAGAATTGTTGATTTCACAGTATCATTATCCCTGTCGCCAGCAATAATAGCAATAATTTTAGGAGTAATAGTGTTTTAAGGTTTATATCCCATAAGTGATAATTTATTTAGATTTGAGTCGCATACCTGCTGAATTTTACCATGATGATACAGCACAGCTAAGCTTGCAATGCAATGCAAGGTCCTGTATTTCATACTGTGATATTACAAGATGTTGTATTAACATAATTGCCAGAAGTCCTTTCTGACTTGAACTCATCGGATGCTGCTTATTGGCTACGGACATTTTAGCGCCATTTTTACGCTATGGTAATGTGACGTTATTATTTGTCCGCCATTGTTGATAGGTTCAAGCTATCGGGAAGCATATCTTACACTGACAAAGGATGATAAAGGGTCAATTATGCTTTTTAAATAGCACATGCATTAATGGGTATGTAATGTTGATTGCTTATATATTTATCTAGTGATGGTTGATTAATGATTTATACCTAACGATAAAATGAATATTAATTAAGAAATGATCGGAGTATGTGCGTGTATTGATTAATTGATTGATTATAGTCTATATCAACTCAAATCAATTCAGCTTTGTGTAAGATATTTGAGGTTTAGCGAGTATTTTATGTTTTAGAATTCACGTGATCGGGATTGATTCCTACAAATTCGAAACGCAAGTATATCCATTGTGACGTCATGTCTGGGGATTATATTCCACAGTGTGATGTAAAATTATTAATAAAATGAATCATCGGGTAGGAGTGAAGAAACCTTTGGCAAGTATATAGGAGATAATACAGTATTAAAAACTATTCAGAATTTTCTACATTAAGGCCAACCAATCATCGACAGCTTTGTCATATGATTTTAATCAACATGAAAGGTTGGGAGACGTGGCTGTTATAATCAGTATTCTTATGATTCATTTCGTGGAGAGCTAGTATCTTTCTTTATTAATGTGCTCCGACTGATATCATTCATAACGTCGCTTTCCCAGTCATGTCTGGGATCAGTTTCTCCCCCGTTACACGACGTACAACACTAAACAACGGCCCTATAACAATAGTTCCACAAGTGTTACGACACAATTTGATTGCTCTTACTTGTTAGGTCCGAGTTGTTTCATTAATAACGTTGCTGCGAATGCTTTGCTGAGTGACGCTATTCCAAAGACGGTGGTGTTCGTTATGGGAGTTCCGGTAGTCACGTCACTCACACCATAACCTTTCGCCAGTATTACTTTGCCGTTCCTGACGACGGCCACCGCCAGGCCGGGGTTGTTATGACGACAATGGTGGGCCTGTAGGGACGGGACACGAGACGAGCTGCTCAGATATAAGGCTTTTATAACACCTTAGATTGGGAAATGGACACGTAAGGGGCAGGAATGTAACCACGGACTTGTTAGGTAATTAAACAAAGAGTTACCAGAGGTCGTAAAACATCCGAGTGGAATGGCTGTGATTAGAAGTAGTACGTTCTATAATCATAAACACATTCATAGATCGATTGTAAATGTGATTGCAGCACTATATCACACTGTAATTTCTTATATGGTTTAACAAAAGCAAAGAACATATCAGCACGTAAAAGGTATAATGCCTCTTATGTTTCTAGAGAGGAATATTTTATTTTAGGCGAGGTTTAGTATTTCATGAAGATCATGTGTTATCTACAATTAGAATAACAGTAAACACATTTGCTGTTTTCTCACTTTATCACAAGCTTAATTACAAAGAGTTAATACACACAAATCGTGATGACTTTGTCAAAGACAGGTAGAGGATCGATCTGACAACTCATCGAATGTTGTCGTTGTAAATGGGTTACACAGACAAAACTTATAGTCCTGTGTGACAGCATCAGAGCTCAGCAAACGTTCAGTCGGACACTTATTCGTTATTCGATATAACGAATAACTGTCCACCTTAACTTTGCTTCAGAGCTCTTTTGACCAATTCGTTTTGATCTAAGATCATGGTGACATAATACCCACACACCATTACATAGCCTACGACTGCTCAATTATAAAGACATTTGTCTGTATTTATCAAATCGTTCTCATGCTCAAAATCAGATTCTGTTCTCAAATCCAAATTCTTGGTTGGAGATAAATTGGCAAATAACAAATGGACACTTTTCGTTTCAGTGTGTTAAAAGAATTTTGGAGAGAGTTCAAGCCGAATACCTTTTTAACTCCTTGCAGTTGGCGTTTTGATGTTGTCACATGATTTGCAACAAAATACATACACCAAATGAGTACATAATCCATGCTTGAGCATGAATATGGTTTCCTGAATAGAATTCTTGAACATCTCCATTGAAAATTGTGTTACTCTCTTCGTGTTGTCATATTAACTGATAAAGAAATGCTTCATCCATAAACAAAATATAAGCACAAAAAACAGTTAAATTGTATACAAAACGTTCCTGATCTACTTAAGCTTGCTACGATACTCGATGTGAATCACTCTTTCTTCCAAATACCGTTGATCCCAAATACACTAGTCACTCCTCGCTCACCATTGTATAACTTATTGAGATAACAAACCGAGATATGAAACTAGCGGTCCATTATATGACTCCTACCTCTTACAAACGTCTTAACGAAATGACACACATAATGTAGCTTGTCATTATATACATGTAATTTCTACGAAAGTCAAAACTGCAACTTCCTGTGGCTCTTCTATTTGAGCTTGGGTCCAGATTTCCCTTTGTGTATTGAAAACTTAAAATACTATTTTCTACATGTTTTTAGGGTATACATCATACACGATATGTACTTGACTAAAATACGAAATATATCAGGTCACTCATCTAATTAAAACGTCGAATTTTAGGTAACTCTGTTTTTGGATAATTTTGTTGGTGTATGAACCAGGTGTTAATAATTTGCATTTTTTGGTGCAAATGTAGTATTAACATCATCTTGCTGTGGTAACCTCAATGGCGGAAATTTATAAGAAAAAAAGTATTTCAATCAAGAGTTAAACATTTGCAACATTGTCATGTACGTGTTATTTGCGCAGCAGTTTCAGTATTGTAAACACAGGACATTGAGCGAGTTAACAAAATATACAGACGTAGCAGTATACAATATATAACACGCATGTGCATGCCATGTATATTCACCTGTTGAATAACATGGTCCACCTGTGCTTCGAAGTCTACAACGGCCAGAACATGGTAGGTAAGACTAGCGAGCAACAGCCCGAACACACTCGGTGTCGCCATCTTGCTTTCTTAGATCATAATCAAACATTGTCATGCGACTGATAAAATGATAGCTTGATATAACAGTGCGCTCGACCGGCCTGTCTATCTCACCTTTCCAAATGACTAGTCTCAAGGACAATAGACTCCCAAATGAGACAGCAATGCTATACATTTGTAGGAATATTCAATACTCTCAAATATTAATCACCATATTACGTTCTACTGTCAAATAAAACATATAATAAAACGGAAATGTCCATTGTTTGTGTTAGCTTTTGGCCAATGTTTCCTCGATACACTGTAAGCATAATTACAATTGATACAGTTATTAGACGTGTCATATCGTGTTGAACGATATCGCGTACATTGAATTTCTGTGACATTGACTGTCTGTGACCTTGACCATATCTAGACTTATGTACATAGTGATTGGGAATTTTATGGTGGTCATTGAGAAGATAAGGTCACCGAAATGAACATATGTGTGTCTGAGATGACATAAATAGTATGTAAAATCCTCTAGGGTGCTACTGGCTACGATCTGAACTAGATTCAGGTAAGTTAAGTAGCTACTTGGGGAATATTACGGCCAAAGCGCAGCACTATATATCTAACTCCAATGTGACTGTCATCAAGTCCTGATTTCGCAATAACATTAATTCACTTATGAAAAATATCAGGCACGTATATTAACAACCATCTGTGGTTTTCACGAAATATTACTAAATCGCATTCATGTTTATCAAACGGAACAATACAAATATAGTAAAAGGCAAATATGTAGGTACTGTATCAAAATCTCATATTTGATTAAAAAACCCACCTGGTACAAATTTAACGAAAGAATGCGTTGGTAAAAAGATTTTGGTTCATTGGTTCATTAATGGTGACACCGTTTTAAGCGTCAGTCGCTTCTTGAGGTGCTTCTCAATTCTGTCCACTTCACTTCCGGTTGCATTAGGAGGTATTGAAGAAGACTTGTTTCTCAATAACTAGTGAAAATTATTTACAGGTGCAGTGGGTGATAACAAGGGTAGTATAATAATTTCATATAAGATAAGGGTATTCAGTTTTAAAAAAGGACTGACAGGCCTGTATAGACCTGTCAATGATACCTGTACTTAGAAGTATAGATATTTAAAGGGTTTCATAAGTTAAAAAAAGTACTGAATTCGGATTGAACATTTGGGAAGTTGTATGTGTTAAACCAGCTAATTAGTAGAAGCTTGGTTCGACCTTGATGGGGTGATTTATCCAGTGTTTGTTTAACCTGGTCTTAAAAGAAAACAGAGATGGGGCATTAACCACTTGATCAGAGAGACCATTCCAATCACTTACAATTCTAAATTTGAACGAATGGCCACGCAGATTACTTCTACACCTCAGTTTTTCAAGTTTCTGGTTGTGACCTCTGGTTGTTCTTGTTGCATTGATTTTTAGAAAGTCATCTTTGATGTTATCTATCCCATTTATTATCTCAAAGGTTTGAACCATATCTGACATTAGTCTCCTGTACTCCATTGTTGGTAGCCCAAGAGCCTGTAGTCTTTCAGGATAGAATAAGTCTTTGATACCAGGGACCAGTTTGGTGGCTCTTCTTTGCACATTTTCTATAGATATCTTATCCTTTATAAGCATGGGTGCCAAAACTACAACACCGGTCTCTAGATATGGTCTTACAAGGGATTTGTATAGGGTAATGAACATTTCTTTGTTTACACAGCTAAAGGTCCTAAAGATCATTCCTACATTTCTGTTTGCTTTTGCTACTGACAGGTTTACATGTTCACTAAACTTAAGATAAGTGTCAATAGTCACCCCTAGATCCCTTTCACTAGCAACAGATTGGAGTTTGTGAACTTTCCCCTGTTTGATGATGCTGTATAAAGTGTCACATTTTAAAGCTCCTTGGTGTAATTTTAGGTGCTTACACTTGTCAGAGTTTAGCTCCATCATCCATGTTCTCGTCCAGTTGTTTAAACGGTGTAGATCCTCCTGAAGATGTTGCCCCTGATCTCCTGGATCCATTGCACGATATAGGTCATTAACGTAGATGAGGAATAGGACTGGCCCCAGCACACTGCCCTGGGGGACTCCACTTGTGACTTGACATGTACTTGATTCACAACCGCTGATAACAACTTTTTGTTTCATATCTTTCAGGAAGTCAGCAATCCAGCCCAGTATGTCCCCCTTAATGCCATATCCCTCGACTTTGTGTAGTAGTCTCCTGTGGGGTACTTTATCAAAGGCCTTTCTTGTAGTCCAAATAAATGACATCCACTTGCTTGTTTTGGTCAATAGTTTCTGTCCAGTCGTCAATTGATTCCAATAGTTGTGTGGTGCAGGACATGCCTCTTCTAAAACCGTGCTGCTCTTTGTCCATGTGTCCCATTATTTCATCTCGTATGATTCGCTGGAGTAGTTTGCCCACAATTGATGTAATGCTAATGGGCCTATAGTTCCCTGGATCTTTCTTGTTCCCTTTTTTAAAAATTGGTATGACATTAGCTTGTTTCCAGGATTTCAGAAGACAATTATCTGCTATTGATTTTTCAAAGATGTATTTAAGTGGAATCTTGATTTGGTCTGCGGTCTCCTTTAGGAATTTGGGATGTATGTTGTCAGGACCAGCGGCTTTGTTTACTTTCAGCCTGCCAATAGCTTTGAATATTTTTTCCACTGATATCTCAATCCTGCTTATTTCCCTATTAGGGGAGTGATCTTGGAATTGGGGAAGTGGTTCTTGCCCATCATCTATGAAAACACTAGCGAAGTGGTTATTTAGGACCTCGGCCTTTTCTAGGTCATTCTTGGTGAGTTCTCCGTTCCCTTTGTCCAGTTGAGTTATCTTCTCTTTTGTCTTGGCCTTGTTGCGGACATATTTCCACAATAGTTTCGGTTCAGTGTTTATTTTATTAGCTAGTAATTCCTCATGGTTGTAGGTGTTGTTTCGAATAGCCCTTGTTGCTAAATTCCTTGCTTTTTGGTAGGATGTGAAGTTTGAAGCAGTTTTACAGTGTAAATATTTTTTCCATTTTCTCCTTTTTATCTTGACTGCTTCAAGAGTCTTCCTGTCGAGAACATGATGGTCCTTTCCTTTTCCCGTCCGTCCTTTACTCACTGGTGTATTTTGCTTAACAACTTTAGATATTATTTCAGTAAAGAATTCCCAGGATTCGGTAAGATCCATAATATTCATGACACCCCACTCTACTTTTGAAAGCTCCTTCCTAATTACTGCATAGTCAGCTTTAAATTATTAGTCTTGGTTTTTCTCCAACTTTGTCTTCGGTGTAACATACAAATTTATAAACTAACGATAGATGGTCACTAGGTCCAATACTGCTTTTATATTCCAGACTGTCAATCATATTCTCTTCATTTGTTAGAATGAGATCTAGAACTGATGGAATGTTCCCCTCCCTGAGTCTTGTAGGATGCAACACATGTTGATATAAAAAGAAATCATGGGTTAGTTCTAGGAATTTTGAAGATACATGCTGTTCGTTGACATCAGTAGTATTTTCCTTCCAGTTGATTTCCTCAAAGTTAAAGTCTCCCAAGATAAGAAGGTGAGAATGAGAGGTTGAATTAGCCTTTCCAAACAGTTCACTGAGCTGAGTGAAGTTCTCTCCATCACAGTTGGGACTCCTATACACGCAGCCCAATAGAAGGGAATCAGATTTGTTGAGTGTTATTTTACACCATACAGCTTCTTGATAGTTCAACTCGTCATCCAAACTGATTACGTCTAAATTGTCCCTTATATAGATGGCTACACCTCTGCGGAAATCTTTATCTTTTTTGTTGAACTGATTGTATCCTTCTAGATTTAAATTTCTGGCCCAAGGCTCGATTAAAGTGTTTTTTGGGAGGATCTCAGTTAATGCAATAATGTCTGGCTTTGATTCTTCGACAACAAGTTTTAGTTCTTCCATCTTTAGGACAGTCAGTGTGTCCACGTTAGTGTAAAAAATATTTAGGCCATCTGTGTTAAAAACTTTAAACCCTTAAAACCAACATCCTATGGGTTTGAAGAGTTGTGAGAGTGACTGGTTTCATTCCTGGACTGTTGTGAGACTGGCAGACCACCGATTACGGTAACATCGGGGTCAAGCATCGATTCATGGCTGGAGGGTGGTCGTCTTATAGCCGTTAGCTGACTATTTAAGACCATGTTGGCGATGGGGCTCATATCCCCAATAGTACGGTCCTCCACCCTGACATTCAAATCCGTGTTGGTCTCACTGGGGGAATCTAATATGGTCTCAACTTCCATGGGGTCAACTACCTGTCCTGTCGTCGGCTGTTGCCAGTGTACGTTTGTTTCTTCTTTTATCTTGTTGTTCCTGCCTTTGCTCTTTAGTCAGGTCCCTCAAAAGTATTACCCTACGGAGATGTTCCTCAGCTTTTGCTGATATTTTTCTAGCATTCTCTAGACTCAAGATTGTCTACATCTAGTGTTGAAGCAAGATTTCTGATGGTGGCTGCATCCATTTCTTTAGACCTGGTTGGATCCTGCTCAGTGTTTTCAGGTTCACGGAAGAGTATGATGTTCTTTATTCCGCCTCTGCTCCAGCTCTTTAGTGCGATGGTCCACCAATGCGTTTACTTCTGCTCGGAGCTCTTCTACCACATCTTTCTTCATGTCGTTGACCTCACTTCTGATATTTTCCTTATTTGTTGTCTCAATGGTTTCACATTTTTTTCCAGCTTGGTCATACGCTGTTCATTTTGCAATTCCAATCTTGATATTTTCCATTGTAGGCAAAGTGCTAGAGCAGCTGTTGCACGACCATCTGCAGTTTTGGTTGTCTCCCTTTGTAAAAAATTGGTATACTGGAACTTGAAGACCGGAACATGTTTGGCAGTAAAGTAACCTACATCCCGAACAGCACAAGGTGGGCTTGTGGATGCTGTTGCTGCATTTATTACACTGATGTTTACTATTTTGTTTTTCAGCTGGGGAAGGTCCACTTCGGAATCTCTTGGATGCTTGGTTTTCATCTTCAACATGGCTAGGTTTA